ACACGCTACACAACTGGTTGTTTATATCAAACATTCTTATGAGACTTACACGCTACACAACTGGTTATATATATATCCAACATTCTTATGAGACTTACACGCCACACAACTGGTTATATATATATATCTAACATACTTATGAGACTTACACGCTACACAACTGGTTATATATATCTATCATACTTATGAAACTTACACGCTACACCACTGGTTATATATATCTATCATACTTATGAAACTTACATCAATGTTACCGTCAGTTTTATTGATTGGAAAGTTACCGACATCACTGTTACCATCAGTCTTATCGGTACAAAAGTTACCGACATCACTGTTACCATCAGTCTTATCGGTAAAAACGTTATGGACATCACTGTTACCATCAGTCTTATCGGTACAAAAGTTACCGACATCACTGTTACCATCAGTCTTATCGGTACAAAAGTTACCGACATCACTGTTACCATCAGTCTTATCGGTACAAAAGTTACCGACATCACTGTTACCATCAGATTCCGTTAATTTCATCAACATTCGAAAGTCAAAACTACCCAATTATTTACCGTTCTTTTTCACACTCTATAATCTCTGTTTATCTTTACATAACTACAAAGAAATTAAATGCTTCTTACCTAAAAAGCGTGGTGTTTTCGTGTAGTCCGAAAAATGGCGCCGAAAAAGAAATTATCCACGTATTTTCACCACCACATTCAAAATACGGAGACGTCCACCTGCCGTCAGAAAACGAAACCACAAGATCGCTTCCACCACTAGGGAACGATGAAAAAGGAACACCGTGGTCTGTGTTGGTCTTCCGTTGAATAAATTCGGTATAATTCTTTAACGAATGTTGCCAGAACCATTCGTTTCCAACAGAGCCGTCTTCGTCGTACGAAACGTTATACGCGGTCGCTAGGTCCTGCGTTTCAACGTAACCATCTTGTTTAAACGCGTACGGAGCGAACAGAAGTCGCGAGCTTTTTCCACGATGGTGGAAAAAGCCTCTTTGAAAGCCAACACCACTGGCGTATATTAAAGGATCACTCTCCACGTTTACTTTCACTAAAGAGTAATAAAATTCTTCGTTATAAAGTATATCATTGTCTTGTGAATCTTTCAAAAAAAGATTCGTCAGAATATTTGCTGTTTTAAGAGCAGCAAACGCTTGCCTTTCAAAAGGTTCGAAAGACCGATTAGACAGGTCGTACCTAAAATGAGCTTTCAAAGAAGTCCGCGTACAATGTTGCGAATGGCTGCGATTGTGCGTTAATTCGATGAAATCTAGAACGGCTGAGACATAGTCTTCTTGCTGGAGAAGTTCACGGACGTCGTCGTCAAAAAACGTAAATTCAGTGTCACGTTTAGGTCGTAGTTCAGCTGTTCTGCTCACTGACCTTAAACTTAGGCTTAACTTTTCTGATGGGCTAAAACTACTAAACACTAGTGAACTGTGTCTTAAAATTATAATGACCCAAAGAAGCACAAAAAATACATGTCCATCCATGGATTTCTTCATGGCGAAATATACCTAAAAACTGTTCTTGGTATATTTCGCAGAAAAGAGCGCGAAATTTGGAACTAATTACGCGAACGTAAAACAACTGTTTTGTGTTAATTACGAATAAAAACGATAAACGCAATTAGCTAAGAGACAAGTTATAGATCGAAGCATTCTTATCTGTAGCATTCTCTTTGAACGTCAAACTATCAAAGCTGACGACCGGAAATCAAGAAATTGTCGGTTTCACAATAATTATTTTTCTCTGTCACGAGATGACGAGCTCAGCTCGAGGGTTAACATAATTTTGTTTGCTTTACCTTACACACTTGGTACTACTGTGGGTAGTGGGGTCGCAGATAACAATCTCTCTCTCTCGATGTATATATATGTGTGTGTGTTCTTTTTTTCCCACATTCTTTCTCTCTATATATCTCCACCTAGACTTCTATTTTCTGGTTGATGCCACCGCACGATGTGAACTGGAAAAAATCGACAAAGAGTTTATATAAACTCAGTGTTTGTGAATAATACAACTTTAGCAAGTAGAGCTTTGAAACTAAGCCTCTAAAATTAACTCGCTTCAACAGTATGTAAACCGGAGAGAAACACGAGTTCGGCTATTACATGAGAAGTTCATGATTTTAATTTCGTGATAAAAAAAAACTATTTTAATCTAACTTTTCTCGTACGTAGTTAACTGAATGAATTCGTACTTGCTATTCCTAAACAGTGTTTTTTATCTATGACCACAACGCATGTATATTTTACCATTTTCTTGCTTTTTTTGTCAGCTGTAAGTCTGAGAGCTTATAACTCTAAAAATCGGGTTTCGATACCTGCAGTAGTAATACCACAAATAGCCCATTTTGTAGCTTTTTTTGCTTAATAACAAAATAAACAGATACTTACATATATTTTACCTTAAGGTCACCAAGTGTCATTGAAACTTACCTTAAGGTCACCAAGTGTCATTGAAACTTACCTTGAGGTCACCAAGTGTCATTGAAACTTACCTTAAGGTGACCAAGTGTCATTGAAACTTATCTTAAGGTCACCAACTGTCATTGAAACTTACCTTAAGGTCACCAAGTGTCATTGAAACTTACCCTAAGGTCACCAAGTGTCATTGAAACTTACCCTAAGGTCACCAAGTGTCATTGAAACGATTTAGCTACGAATGATATCAATATGCTGATTAGCCACATTGGCTAAGTAATTATATCAAACTAAAATAACCTTGTTTCACCTCAAGGGCACCACGTATAAATAAAACGTCTTTAAATAATATATTTAAAAATATATAGTTTCAGTATACTACATCATATCTATCTTAAAATATAGTTCCAAGTATGATAAATCTCAAACTTCTATACTCCCGGTCTTGTAAGGATGCATAATTATTTATTTATGTAAACAGAAACTATATCACAGGTGTGTATTTGAACATTTTAAATAAAATGCATAAATAATGTTTTTCTTTACAATGAAATACAGGTTTTTCACTTAAACGAACCGTTGATTTCATTGTAGAAACATTTCAGATTTGTTCAACTTTCAAGAAAACAACTCAGAAAAACAATAAAACTGGTTTGATTTATTTCGTAACAACATCTACAAGTTGTTTTGTGATGTATCCCATCTTCTTACATTGTATAGGAGATGTTGCTTAAATTGTACAGAGTTACACAATAATAACAATTCTCTACGAACACCCGTGCTAAGTCAGAAACAACAACCGTTCTTGTTTTTAATAATAATAAAAACCTGAAGATGGCGCGTGGAAGCGTCGAAACATGTAGGTGGAGTCGATTTGAGGTTGTAGATCGGTATAAAACCGTTGTTGTTGTTCTTTGTAGTTAAGCTCCAAACTACATAATATGCTATCTGTGCTCTGCACAACCACAGGTATCGAAAACCGGTTTCTAGCGTTATAAGTCCGCAGACATACCGCTGTGTCACTAGGGGGCCGGTATAAAATATAATATAAATTTATTTATTCTGTATACCATTGGGCTGTTGTTTAATTGTATTTACACCAGAATAATAAATATAGAATTACACCATAATATTTTATAAATAATAATAGATATAGAATTACACCATAATATC